GATGTGGACAAACAAACCAGATGAGATGGAAATCATGTTGGACGGGGGGTATTGTTACTCTAAACCCAACTCTTAGATAGTTGGGCAGAGCACAGGGCTCAACACACTCCCGGTACCACGTCACCTGGACATTTCCTTGTTATGGGCAGTATTTTCCATAGTGATTTCATTATACTGTCTCTTGGTGATCCTCAGTAGAAGTAAAGCGCTTATTTATAATCTTGTAGTTATGCATTTATATTGTTCGGCTTATATCCTGCCTTCCCCACATTTGTAGGCTCAGGGCAGGTACAATGTAAAACATCTCACAATAACCAATTAAAATCTATAAAACTATCAGTCTAATTCCATAAAATCATCAACATTTAAACAACAACATGCCTCAACAGCAGATTGTGTGGTCCCAGTTTGACTTCCAGGATCTGCGGTCCTTGGGGGGGAGGGGAGGAGGCCCAATCTCATGCATAATCTTATAAACCTCAATCCTGTCACCCCTCAGCTGTCATTTCTCCAAGCTAAAGAGCCCGAAGCGCTTTAACCTTTCTTCATAAGGAAAGTGTTCGAACCCTTTTATCATTCTAATTGCCTTTTTCTGCACTTTTTCCAATGCTATAATATCCTTTTTGAGGCGTGGTGACCAGAACTGTACGCAGTACTCCAAATGAGGTCGCACCATTGATTTATACAGGGGCATTATGATACTGGCTGATTTGTTTTCAATTCCCTTCCTAATAATCCCCAGCATAGCGTTGGCCTTTTTTATTGCAGTCGCACACTGTCTTGACATTTTCATTGAGTTATCTACTGTGACTTCAAGATCTCGCTCTTGTTCAGTCTCTGCCAGTTCAGACCCCATCAATGTGTATTTATATTTAGGATTTTTGGCTCCAATGTGCATCACCTTGCACTTGGCCACATTGAACCCCATTTGCCACATTGACGCCCACTCGCCCATCCTCAACAGATCCCTTTGGAGTGCCTCACAATCTTCCCTGGCCTGGTTCTCACCATCCTGAATAACTTTGTGTCATCTGCAAATTTATCTACTTCACTGCTTACTCCGAACTCCAAATCATTAATAAACAAGTTAAAAAGCATCGGACTGAGTACTGATCCTTGTGGTACCCCACTGCTTACCACCCTCCACTGAGAAAATTGCCCATTTATACTCACTCTCTGTTTCCTATTAATTAGCCAGTTTCTGATCCACAAGAGGACTTGTCCATTTGTCCCATGACTGTTGAGCTTACTTAGGAGCCTTTGATGAGGAACTTTACCAAAAGCTTTCTGGAAGTCAAGGTAAACAATATCTATTGGATCCCCCTTGTCCACATGTTTGTTCACCCCCTCAAAGAACGTTAACAGGTTAGTGAGACAAGATCTTCCCAGACAGAACCCATGCTGAGTCTGCCTCAATAGCAATCCTCAGGAATGGAGGCAGATTTTAAGGAAAGATTACATATCTTTGTCAGGAGATCTACAAGTTCACATTTGAGTTCTTTCAGAACTCTCGGATGTATGCCATCTGGGCCTGGTGATTTATCAGTTTTTAAGTTGTCTATCAGTTTTAGGACCTCCTCTCTCGTCACCTCAATCTGACTCAGGTCTTTCAACACCCCTCCCGAACTCAGTGGCTCTGGAGTGGGCAAGCACCTCTCATCTTCCACAGTGAAGACGGAGGCAAAAAATGCATTCAGCTTCTCAGCCATTTCCCTATCATCCTTCAGTACTCCTTTTCCCCTTGGTCGTCCAAGGGCCCCACTGCCTCCCTGGCTGGTTTCCTGCTTCTAATGTATTTGAAGAAAGTTTTATTGTTGGTCTTTATGTTTTTTGCTATATGCTCCTCATATTCCCATTTTGCCTGCCTGACCACAGACTTGCATTTTATTTGCCACTTCATAAAACCATTGTACCTTACAAAGCCATACTTATTTTTATTTATGTATTTATTCGATTTCTACCCCGCCCTCTCCGCCTTAGCTAATTTGGTGCCTTGGTTAAGAGCAGTGGACTAGAATCTGGAGAACTGGGGTTGATTCCCCATTTCTCCTTCACATGAAGCCAGTTGGGTGACCTAGGGTCAGTCACAGTTCTCTCAGAGCTGTTATCTTAAGAACACAAATCTCACAAATTAGGACACATCAATCTCCAGTTCTAACATATTTATTACCTATGTTGTCTGCCCCCCCCAGCTGAACTGAAACAAATGATAACCAGAAACCTAGTGTGTCATTCTTTTGATCTGTTTTTTAAAATATTTACTATTTTGCATATTAATTTAACAAGCCACCCCTATATATACAACTATGCTATGTAATTCAATTTCATCATCTAACGAACTGCACAGGAAAGCTCTCATCTTGAATAAAAATTGTTGGTCTTAAAGGTGCCATTGGACTCTAACTTCGTTGTATTGCTTCAGATCACTTCGGTCCGGGACGCAACACCTCCTGGCAATGCCAGGCCCTAAAGAGGCCAGGTTGGCTGCTACCAGGGCCAGGGCTTTCTCGGTGGCGGCTCCTACCTGGTGGAAGAGCTCCCGGAGGAGATCCGGGCCCTGCGGGACCTTGTGCAGTTCCGCAGGGCCTGTAAGACGGAGCTCTTCCACCAGGCGTATGAGTAGGAGCCGCCACTACCATCATTATGATTCCATCTTCACCTGGCCCTGGATGAGGGAACATCAATGTTTCCCTGGAACAGATGATACTGAACAGCTGAATTACGCCATCTATGAAATATCTCGTTGAACATCAAGAGCACTTTAGTTAAGAACTTGTAAATAATGTTTTTGTACTGTTGTGTTTTAAATATGTTTTATATTGGCGTTTGCCTCCATGTAAGCCGCCCTGAGCCCGCATTGCGGGGAGGGCGGGGTATAAATTGAATAAACTAAATAAACAAACAAATAAATCAACATGGCTGCCCACCTTGATCTATCTCAAGAGCAGTTCTCTTTGAGCTCTCTCAGCCCCACCTGCCTCACAGGGTGTCTGTTGTGGGGAGAGGAAGGGGAGGTGATTGTAAGGTACAGTAAAGCTTTTTAAACAGGACCCTAAACGTTTAACATTAAAGGATATGTTTTAAGTTGTAAGACAAAGTAGTAACACCTCCCCCCAAGTACCATGCAACAGTAAATAAGGAATATGCTCTTAGATAGTTTAGGAATCTTCTTCATGCTCCCTGAGTTCAGAATCCATATCTTTGGTGCTGATTTTCAGGACTTGTAAGTACCTCTGATTCTTCTTTAAAGGTGTGAATAACATAAGCAAGGCCATTGCTTAATACCCTTAGATGAAAAGGGTACCCAATGTGTATGAAATGTCAGCTTCAAGATTCTTCCTAGTTGAGACTACTCAATCCATGCCTTTTCTTTAAGATTTCTGTAGATAGATCTTGATATTTTGTTGTCTTCAAAATTATTGCCTTTGAAATTCTAAGTATGGCTTCTTATGAGCAACAGTGAAGACATTTTGACATGAATGTACCCGTGTTGCCCCCCCACAAACTGAGGAAATCCTTTAAAACCAGGTTTAGCCCCCTCCTATTTTCATCCACTTTCTGAGCTTCCTCTCTGTTTTGAAAAGGCCTTTCACTTTCGTAGTATTTTGGTCTGTTTTCTTCACAGCTTTCTGTAGTTTTCCCTTCTCACAGGATTTGCTAAATCATCAGTGGAAGTTAGGGTTGCCAAGTGTATCTTCGCCGTGAGCGGCTGGCGTCTTGTGTGTGCGCGCGCGTGCGAAGCGTGCGCCGCACGCACATCACCCGGAAGTGACGGGAGGACGCCAGGCACATTGGGGGTGGGGCCACGGCCATACAAGGGAAAACCATAGAGTTTTCCCTTGTATGGCTGTGGCCCCGCCCCCAGCGTGCCCATGTCACTTCCTGGTGACGCGCACACGGGGGTGGGGTTCCCCCCAGGGCCCAATTCCGCAGCGGCGTAAATCGGGCCTCCAAAGCGGGGGTTTACCCGCCCCCCACCCCCACTTGGCAGCCCTAGTAGAAGTACTAATTGAATTGAGTTAATGTTTAAATTCATTTTATATTTCTTGTTTGAGGGATTTAAGCTGATTTAAAAGAAGCCTCATTAATTGCAACTTGAAAGAAGCTTCAGAGTTGCTACTGAAACCAGATTCAGGTGGGCGGCCATGTTGGGCCGAAACAGCAGAACACAGTGTCACCTTTAAGACCAACAGAGTTTTATTCAAGGTATCAGCTTTCATAGGCAGACACACTTCTTCAGATATAATGCAATGGAAATTACCAGTCCATACATATAGATAGAGGGTGAGCAGTAAATTAGCATACAGCAGAATGAAGATGTTTAACAGATTCAAGGAGCAAACAGGAATAACAAGCTTAGTTTATATGGTTACCATTTGTTCGGGTTTTAATTTCAAGGGGAAACATGGTGAAGGAACGAAATATGTCACTATGTTTCCCCCCAGAATTAAGCCCATACAAATGGTAACCATGTAAACTAAGCTTGTTATTCCTATTTAAATAAATAATAAATATTTGGTTCCTTGAATCTGTTGAATGTCTTCATCATGCTGTATACTAATTTACTGCTCACCCTCTACCAAGATGTATGGACTGGAAATTTCCATTTCATTGTATCTGAAGAAGAGTGTGTGTGCACATGAAAGCTTATACCTTGAATAAAACTTTGTGGTCTTAAAGGTGCCACGGGACTGAAACCCATTCCATGTTTTCCCATCTATTCCCACGTGACATTATTTTGTGTCTCACTTTGTAAGCTATCCCTGACTTGAGAATGTTCAAGACTTATAGTATCCAAAGGAGAAAACCCAGCCACCATTATCCATTTGTAAAAATACAACAATCAATCAAATAATCAACACTTTGCTGTACTTCAATGGGTACCACAAAATCTGACTCCTTTACTTCCCTACTGACAGGGTTCTGGCCTTTGGGTGCCAGAGGGATATTCAATTCCCAGAAGAGTTATCCACTTATAACCCACTTTTTTTTCCTCCTAGGTGAAATGGATGATGTATTGGATCATATTTGCAGTCTTCACAACAGTAGAGACGTTTACGGACATTTTTCTTTGCTGGTTAGTATGTCATAAAGATGCTCCCTTCATAATAATGAAATGAATGGAGGGAAATGTACACGTTTTAAAAGGTGTGATACTTATATTAGCATGACTTAATACTAGGAAGAGCCCATCGGCATCAGGTGCGTGTGGAGTTGGGCACTTCCTTGTCTGGTGGTGGAGTGAGAGTGAAGATAAGGGGAAAGGGGTCAGAATGGGACTTCCTAGGATACCTCTTATGAAGATACTGTTGGAAGTTCCAGGTGCGCGATGTCCACCTGCCTCAGACCTCCAGACTGAGGGGCAAGAGAGGCTAGGCAGGCACACTGGCCTTCCTTCCTGTCTCTGTTCTTCTGCCACTGTCCTCTTTGATATGCAGATTGTGATCTCAGGGACCAGTTTCCCTTTCCTGCTCCTCTCTCACTCAGACTTGCTCTCTACCAGCGTGCGCATGCTGTCCTCTCTTGGCACCATGAGGCAGATGGGCCTCTTGCCATCTGCCTCTATCCTTTAGTAAGTTAGTAGAAGAAGAAGAGAAGAAGAGATGGGACTTATACCCCATGGCCCTTCACTACCTAAGGGAGTCTCAGAGCAGCTTACAAACTCCTTTCCCTTCCCCCTCCCCACAACAGACACCCCTTTTGAGGCGGGTGGGGCTGAGAGAGCTCTTGACAGAAACGGCTCTTTTTCAAGGACAGCTCGTATCAGAACTACGGCTTGCCCAAGGTCATCCAGCCAGGTGCAAGTGGAGGAGTGGGGAATCAAACCCGGTTCTCCCAGATTAGAGTCCACGCACTTAACCACTACACCAAACTGGCTCTCTATCAATCTCTCAATCTCTCCTCTTTCCTATCCAAAGTGTACTTCTCAAATAGAGAGAGAAATATTTTTCTTCTAAACTGGCAGTGTGGCCCTGTGTAGTTTTGTGAGCTGAGTAACCTTGGTAGTGCCGCTCCTGCATTTGTAGCTTTATTTTAGCACTCTGCTAACTAATGGTGACTGGACGAACCAAACCAGTTAACCTCAATAGGTCATAACCAGGTAAATCATAACCAGGTAAACCAGCTTACTTAGAACTGGTACTACTGGAAAAGTCTGTGGATCCAAAGTACTGAATCTGCCTCCCTCAGCAGCTAAGGGGCACCTTTGGTGCCGGCCCAGACAGGGAGGAGTCTGGGAGTGACCCTGGATGCCTCTTTCTCCATGGAGGCCCAGGTTGCGGCAGTTGCCAGATCTGCATTTTTCCATCTGAGGCTGCTGAAGCCCTATCTTCCCCCCCGAGACCTAGCGACGGTGACCCATGCAGTGGTCACTTCCAGGCTTGATTACTGCAACTCGCTCTACGCAGGCTTACCCTTGAAGCCGATCTGGAAATTACAACTTGTGCAGAATGTCGCGGCGTGCCTGCTGACGTCAACACCCGTGTGGGCTCACGTTAGGCACGTGCTCTGCCAACTGCATTGGTTGCCAGTTGAGTACCAGATTCACTTCAAGGTGCTAGTTTTGACCTTCAAAGCCTTATACGGCCTGGGACCCACATATCTAAGGGACCGCCTCTTCCCATATATGCCTTGAAGAGCGTTACACGCAAAAGATCAACACCTCCTGGTGGTCCCTGGCCCGAGGGACGCCCGTCTTGCCTCGACCAGGGCCAGGGCTTTTTCTGTCCTGGCCCCAGCCTGGTGGGACAGGCTCCCCGTCGAGACCAGCCCCCCCCCCCCCCGCAGGATCTCCTCCAATTCCACAGGGCCTCCAAGATGGAGCTGTTCTGCCAGGCCTTTGGTTGAGGCAGCGGGTGCCCATCTATGGCTGTCTGCTGTCACCCATCTATCATCTGTCTACCGTCCACCGAAAACTGGCCTTTAACCCATTGTACTATCAGGCCAGAATTTTATAGCCAACTTATGCTATTCCAAGCTTTAATTGTTATAATGTTTTGTTGTGTTTTAATGTTTAATGTTTTAAACTGAAATTGTATTTATTTCAATGATGTGACCCGCCCTGAGCCCGCCCGCGGGATGGGTGGGATATAAATGCAAATCTATATATATAAAAGAAAGTCCCCTCACCGTAAAATCAATGCGCAGTCCAAACCGCTGGACCTAGAAACACCAAATTCAGGGAGAGCGCTCCTACCGTAATGTAGATGTTCACTAAGAAGGGATATTTAGAAATTTGACCCCTAAGGGGGTCAAAAGGGGTAAAATGTGCTCCCCCCATTGATTCCTATGTGCTGCCAGGCTGCTGACTCTTTGCACCCCCCACTGTCTGATTGGTCAGCTGCAGAGCTCAGTGTTCTGAGGTTAAAAAAAACAGTTACAGGGGACTACAGAGAGCTAATGACAGTTGAGGAAATCAGGAGTGGCCAGCGACCTCTGAGGTGAAGCAAAGCTGCTGGCCCATCCTCCCTATGGCTTCAAACATTCTCCCCCCTCCTACATTTGGCAGTTGTCTGTCAGGTGCAGCAGCAGTTGCAGGGTGCTTAAAGCCATGAGGGAGCATGTGCCAGCAGTAACACCTTAGTGATCCTGGCAGCCCTGCCTCCACAGTG